ACCATGAACGCTTTAAAGGGTTCGAAACGTCGGGAACTAAAATTAAAAATAAACGCGATAAATCCGTAAAATTAGTTTCATTTATTAAATTAATTATTTTGAAATAAATGTATAAATGTTAATGGCCCTACAAAAGCCTTTGTATTTTTTTTACATATACGGTAAAATTTTAATCGCTTAAGTCTATATCGAAGCATCATATTAGTCCCGAAGATAAGATTGCGCGATAAGCAGCACCATAAACCATCTCAAATTTTATCCAAGGGCGCGTCTTGCTTTCGGATGTTTATCTTATCGTGTTTTGTTTTAGTAAAATAGGACACACTTCATAGTTGATTGGTATAAATTAATACTCGAAGACGGTTCTTTCTGAATAATTATTATGTAGAGTCACAAGGTTAACGGTGGTAGAGCCACGTAGCAGCCCCTGCTGTTGCACGAATGGGCAGGCTCGTCCGGGTAAGCACCACGACCTCACAGAAGACCGGCGTGAAGTGGAAGTATAATACTTTCGCGTTTCGTCTGGTGAGTGAGGTGGCCGGAGCCCAATTTTCAAATGTTTGTCAACGTATCTATTATTATATTCACTTAACATCAAGTGAACCGTCTGCTCGCTTAGCAAGTTTTTACGTAAAAAAAAAAAGTTTCTCTTAATTAGCTCGACCTGCGAACAGATACAGCGTTCGCAAACACCGATGTTAAATAGTAATGTTAATTTATAATTTTGTGTTTCGCCCGATGGCTGAGATAACCGGGTACGGGTACCGCTACTTCCATGAGTTGCGAACCCATTGTTTTTTTTATGTAAGAAGGTGGCAAGCGAGCTGGTGGTTCACCTTTGCAGCACCCGAAGGGCGTTGCCACCTTATTATAAAATCGGCTCCAGCTACCTCACACACCAGACCAAACGCAGTATTAAACACTTCACCCCGGTCTACAGTGGTGGTGGTACTTACCCGGACGGACCTGCCCATTCGTGCAACAGCGAAGTCTATTGCGTGACCTTACCATCTATGCCCTATGATTTTACTTTTATATCACGACGTGGTTAATCAGCATTGTGGGTTGCTGTCTGGATCCCCCCCACATACCCCTGCCCCTCCCCCGATTCGGTGGCAAGGGATCCGTAAAGAATTTTTCCCACGTCAAAAAAAAAAGCTCGCGAATACTATTATCGTTGTAAACATGTACCTATTCATTCCCATTATATATTAGCGATGTTGCCAGAAGTTTTTAATTTGAATGTTCCCGCCTTATACGGTAGTTTTTGCAACTAATGTCCGCCCTAAGTTTAATTATCACCATCGGAGTTACCTTACGCGGCTAAGTTTATTTTTCGCTCGTTTCCGAGCAACGCTAAATTAGTCGTTTGGCAAGTTCCCCGAATCGGCAAAAGCCGCGCTCGGCTCTAGCGAGACGTTGAATTCTTACCGACCGATTTCTAAATATACGCCGTCACTGCCATCAGAAAACCAACCGTGAGGGTCTGGTTTATATCCTGGATTTTAAGCTAAATGTGATTTAAGATGATGCAGGATTTAAGATAATATCGAGATCATAAGAAAACGTTAACTATTGGTACAGTAAAGTTGATCGATCGTAAATGCCGGAGATTTAAAAAAAGACGGAATATATAATAACGGAAGTTTCACGTTTTTTCCACGCCCAGCGATTAAAAAATACGATAACATTGCCGTGACTACGTTTTAATAAATGCCATGTCGATGTCATTAATTTCTCACATACGATAATGATAAACCGTGTGCCCACAAATGCTCTCTTATTAATTGGCGCAGTGAAGTACGGAACGACGTCATTGCGAGTTACAAATTTCTCAGCGGTCGCGGTCGCAGCCGGCATCAGCAGTTGCGTCGGATGACGTTGTAACAGCATCCCCGGGGCGGACAAGATGGCGGTGGCGGGGGCAGGGCAGGGGAGGCGGGGGCGGTCTATTTTGAATTGTTTACGGCGTCTCCATTCACGGGCAATAGAGAGCTCGGCGCACCCATTGTGACCACTGCGTCGCCAGCGCTGAGGGATGAATGCCCTCGTAGCGCGTAATTAACCACCTAAGTTATCATCCTACTAAGGAATTTGCCGTTATTAGGACACATTTTTACACAACGTTCTCCATTCTCAAACTAAGCAACGCTAGTACTATGAGTACTAGATAACTGATAAACATACTTTTCTTTTGTAAATAAATACATATTATTATTGTAAACGACCAGGCACTCGAAAAACACAATGTCCATCACACAATATTTTCCAGCAGTGGGGATCGAACCCTCTGGTGCCAGAGGCAGGTACACCACCCACTACGCCATTTGGGTCGTCTGATTCTATGTTGATGTTTACGCGAGTAAACCAGTTTACGTATTTTAAGCGACAAAATCCATAAACTAGTTTCATTTAATATTTAAACGTTTACTGATAATGCATGCGTTGTTCGCTACTGTGCACGCAAGTCGTATTTAGAATGAGCGTAAGTAGTATAATTGCGCATGTACGTGTGTATTGCCTTTTTGTCTATATATATATATATAATAATAAATACAAAAAGAAATTAGTGACTACTTGTATATAAAAGTAGTCACTAATTTACGTGGCAGAACATACCTTTGCCAATAAGTCCGCCTTTGTACAAATATTTGTTTTTTTATGCATAAAGTTTTAAATAAATACATATAATGTTGAATTAATCGATACTCATATTTCGAATAAAAACGAACTAAATCCGTGGCATAGTAACGGTATCTAATTCTGTACTGAACCGAAAACCGAGCGCATGTAATGCACACCTGGAATCATTGAACCGAAATTGACTAACTACCTAATTGGTTAACTACCGATTTCCAATCAGGGCGGAGTTGCGTTACCCGATTCGATCGAACCATATCTTTGTTTGTTACTCTTCGAAGATTCTGGTACGGTTTTAACCTTTAACATGGATGGTCATTTAGTGGTTACGAAATTTATCATCAAAAACGCAACTGCCCAGAAGCATGTCGTTTAAAATGACACACCCCACGCTTTAATATGACAATGCATTGTTCTGTTCCCTCCCATATAAATTGTCGCGAGTGTTAAATTGTCACGTAAGCGAGTGCGAGATGATTTTCGCGTTAACGATACACATCCTGATTCAGGTCGACACAATTGTTATGACCGTCGAGTTTATTGTAACCCAAATAGTCCCCTTTTTTGAAATGCTACAGACCAAATTACATCATCCGAGTGCGGGTGACGTAATGGTCATCAATTTTTTTTAAATATATTTTTGATAAGGCCTACGCGTTAACAAATGTTAACCATATTTGTACATGCATCTGATTTGGACAATGAACTTGGGAAATTCCACGAACTGTGGTCAAAATAAAAGCGATACTTTTTGTACTCTTAAAAGTGTAAATACAAAAAAGAATAAGCTGATACTTTACCGATTTACTTTACCGTATTACGATGAAGATAGTTACGTATACACCAACACCACTAGCAACTCCTATCAAGCCACAGCAGACATAGGCGCACTAGGTTTTATTTTATTGGTTATTCAGGGGGCTTCTTTATTATATGTATTTAGATAAAAAATCAATATCGATCCCAAGTAGCAACATCGCAACAACACGTTGATGTGATTAAAATTGATCGACGTAGAAAAACAATTTGCGTTCGGAGTATTTTTACAGATAACTTTTAGGAACCCTTATTGACATTATGAATTGAAGACATTGTGTCATTCCGACTTCTCTTAGTCGTAGTAAGTAATATATATATTTAGCAGTTACCCCACTTCTGACATTATCTGATGCTGTTGCAGATCGTATAAAAAGCTAATTTACTTACTAGTTATCTTATGTAATGCATATATGTAATTGAAACATATTGTTACAGGTATGCGCTTTAGCGACTTATTCAAAAATATTCATTTACGCGGTTTCGGACGCTAAAACAACACGTAAGGTAAGATCCACATACATATTTTCTAGGTTCATTTACAATTATTATTGTAGCGAAACCTTAGCTGGCTACTCGGAATGAGGCTAAGTGGAGTTGGCAAAAGAACAGACTAATGTGTTATAATGGTATGCTATATTATACAACTGTTACAAAAGCAAGCTAAAAGTAAGCAACTTGCCAAACGCGCCCAGACATAGTATGAAGTTCCCGTCTTCTGTATAAAAATAGGGAGACCGAAATTCCTTCATAAAATATTTTGCGACATGGCGTACGTCATACATAGCGTTAAACCCAGGTGGGCCGGAATCATATATTTTCCAAACTCATTATTGTATATCAAATGCTTCCCGTAGAAGTAATACAATAAAGAAATTATCATGCAATTTAATTCGGGCATCAATTTATGTATGTGTTCAGTTACGTCAAAAAAATAATAAATTGTTATGCGATGCTGTCATAATTGCCAATTTTCTTTTCAGCTATAAATTTTTGAATTTATGAGAAACTATTACAGTTGGCTGAGCTACATGATTGTGGCTACTACTAATATTCTTTAAACAATTGCGATCATTTTTATCTTTATGACTCGTTTAGAATTTCTCGTATAGTCATTGGCCATAATTTAAGACGTTATTTATCTAGAAACGATGGATTCGAGCTCGGGTGCCAAGTTTCGAACGCTTTTGTTATGTCAGTGCGTGACTCATTACCGCAACGTTTTTAGTATCGTCTATAGCATAGTTACAAGATCAAATTCTTACTCGAACAGTCTACGGGTGAGGTTAGAAAAATCTAACTCTCTTTTTATTTTGATCTCTCTAAATAGATAAAAAAGTATATCTAAAATTCTTTATAAATTTCGGCCAATCGTAATTGCACAGGTGTGAGACCGAAGCGAATGAAGAACGCCTAACACCTGTCCACGTGGGCGGCACGGTCACGGCTACGGACACGTTTCAACCAGTCGTGTGAATGTCGCGGGAGTAAAAATATTTTGCATCACTCAACACACAACACGCGGTGTCCTAATGAAATAACTAAGCTGAGATCCCGGCACACCAACGCCCCACTTCCGGTGCGGCTCGGTGCAGACGAACGTTTTGGCGTACCGCGTCGCGCGAAATTCTACGACCCCCTGTACGAGTGGATTTATAAATAATCCCGATCCGCCAGTGGCGGCGGCGGTGCGGCGGACCGCGGACGGCGCGGGCGCGCGAATCGGTAATGGACGCGTGTCGGGACCGAATTCTCAGACCTCCGGCGACGACGCGACCTGATAGGGTAGCCTTTGAACCGCGTCCCCACGAGGGCTCGAGGCTCAGCGGTGAGCGTGGCCAGAGTGACGCGCGTGGAGCGACCATCATGCCCTCTCTCCCCAGTTCTTGAGCAGTGCCAGTGATAAAGTGACGAGTGTGATTGTAGACGGATAGTGTTTGAAGTAATGTTGAACTGCGAACCAACAGCTGTCGCATCGCCGACGTTCGCCTCTGCTTATTATCAGTCAGACGTAAAAGTCTCGGATGCGGCGACTCCTCGATTGAGAGAGAGCAGACGCATCGGTTCCAATTTGCCGTGGAATAAATTGTCATTCGCGACACTCGTGACATCTCGGTCCCGCGATTTATCGAGTGACGGTTTGACTCATATTCGGACTGTTAACGAGTGAAATTGCAACTTTCTTGCGACGAGCTCGGTTGCACCTCTTTCGAATTCTTCCAGTGCACACTCCAGCTGCACTTCAGTTTGATTGCAACGGATGGTTTATATTCGAGTCTCTAAATTTATCTTCCTTTAGTGTTACTACAAGACTAAGCATACATACATTAATACACCGAGACAGTCGAGTATGTCGTTAATGCTGTGCTTTAAAATACGGCTGACGTAAAAGTTTTTCATCTAATAGTCAATAAATTTGTTACGACTTAAGCGTTTTTAATTAATGTATTGTGTCAGAATTTATTCATATATATTAGGTATGTAACTTTTGGCATACCCTTGGTTTAATTGTCCAACAGCTATATCATTGCTATCCTAATATATATAGATATTTCTGTTTCTGAATCTGTTTTAAAAATTGCTCCTTTGTACTTGTCGAGTTTGGTACGAGTACTGTTATACGTTGCCGTGTGTTTTAATTTACGACACGTTTTTATCATTATTTATGTCTTTGGTACGTGTTTGAGCCATTGGTTTGCTGTAAAACTATTTTAGAATTCTTTGAAACTTTCTTGTATGTTCCTACAAACAGTTGTTACAATGAAGAATTACTGTAAATTTCCTTCTTTCTTTGGTAAAATAAAACGAGTGAATGATAAATGAATTTTTTCCCTATATCTAATTACGTTTGCTACGGAATCAGAATGGCGTTTTAACCGACGTACTTATATGACATATGTAATAGATGAAGACGAAGTTTGGGCCGAGTTCAAGTGCATTGTTCCAGTGATTAATGATACTTGAGTTCTCAGAATTCTTTTAGAAAAAATAGCTAAGTACTGAGCTGAATAGCTTGCTGTTTGTCTTCTTGAGTATATTTCAATTAATTTTAAGCATTCCGTTACGGAACGTATATCTTATATCTTTTTGTAGAAAATAGTTAATACTTAAACAGTCAACTCATCGCCATAGAAATTGACACAGGCGCAATTTTTATATTAAGATTTATTAATTATTTAATGAAATGAAGTGTCTCATCTTATCCTTCATATTTTAGATTTTTCTTTGTACATTGATATTATTTGACGGACTCCCCGCCTACGTTTTGAGTTTATTAGTCGCATCATAACACGCATCGTCATAAACAATTTGTTGGTTTGTGACAGACTGGTTTGTATTTTTGTTATGTGTGGGCGCCAGCGTAGGAACTTACATCATTGTGCCTCTAGTGTTCGGAATATTATTTTGGATTTTATTGTAGAATACATTAACCTTGCCTAGCTTAGGAAAACTCCGTCACTGAATTGGAAATCTGACGATAGTTTTTGAATTCAAACATTGTTTTCCCAACTTGTGTTGCTCGTCTATGCTCGCCCCGCCTCAGCATTCCTCGGACCCAATGTATCGGTCTGCTCAAGCGTACGGAGCAATTGCCAGATAGTTACGCAAATCTGATTGATGATAACGATCCGTCGGACGTTACCGTTACTCCAATTTGGCCACCGTGCTGCACGTCCGGACGTTCGTTCACCTCTAGAGTTCATATGGACGTTTAGCTGTTGATTTTTTTCCCACTCGTCGCAACGTTGCATCGAACTCGATTACGTTGCACCCATGACTGCTAAACCTTTTCAATGCCCGACTCACGAAACATGATTGTTGTTCGCAGCGATTGTTTTATTTTCAAATTTAGAATCGTCCGCGCACCGAGAACACGTCGCATTATATAGATATAATGGTGTTATGTTGTTCAAATAATACATTTTCAAACAAGGAATAAATCGAAACGACTCATACAAATTCGGCCGAGTTAAGTGTGTACGAATTCTGTCAAGATGATGCAAGGGCTGCTGGAATCTCTCTACAGAATCTACTCAGGTGAGTCTAAAAGGAATGAGAAAACAGGTCAAAATATTGAGATCAGTATTCCTGCAATTTGGTGACTACTAGATGTAATTTTGTAAAACATCCAATCAAAAACATTCATTATTAATCAGACCCTGACAAAGCAATGATATTGTTAAGTAGTGCCCAGCTTGACGTGCAGTGCCTCTATTTGTTTATACAAACCTTCAAGCAACCTATGCAGTTTGATGCAAAACATCACAGTTTGATTGCAATCTGGTGTGATATAGGAACGCATACCGATCAAACACAGAAAGTAATATTTAGTTTGTTAAATGGTTAAATATCGTTATGTTGTTTTATTCCTTTATTTATTATTTAAATTTCACTAAACACCTGTCACTATTTATAAAGTCGTCGGCATCGCGAAGGTGACTCAAATTGATGTTTTCGTTGACGATCGAGGTTGGCATTTGATCACTTGGCTTCGGCAACTTGGCCACGAACACGGTTATTGCGGTGCTTTCGGTGACGTGACAAATTACTAAGACACCGAGATGACAATGATAATCAAAGAAATGCCGTATACCTTTCATGTGTCATTGCCGAAGAGAATACGCGTCCGATAATAATACTCTGGTTTGAGGTGATAGCAAAACTAGAGTGAATAAGCTTTTATCATTACGTTTACCACCTACGCTTAAGTAAGGACTACCTATAGTAAGAACCAGGTAATTAACGATGAAAAATTGATCGATTATTACGAAATAAGGAAAATATTTGTCCTTTTCCTATTTAGCTCACGAACAAGTGTACGCGCATATGTTTTTTCCATGATATTTTCAGCTTGTTTTAAGATATTCCAACATTATTTGAAATTAGCACTCTTGTTAAGGACTAATGTAACTAATATCATAAGGACGACCTAGTATTCAAAAATGATGTTCTCATGTAGGTCGTATCCTTACTAATATTATAAACTCGAAAGTTTGTTTGTATGGATGGATGTTTCGTACTCTTTCACGCAAATACTACTGAATGGATTTTAATGAAACTTTACAATAATATAGCTTATACATCAGAATAAGACATGGGCTATAATTTATATACATATTTTATGTATATCTGTCTTTCTGTCTGAATGTTACGCCTTCAGCCTATTCTACGCATACGTAGTCGCGGGCAGCTGCTAGTCTTAAATATATACAGCCAACATGGTCCTTATAATAATCATTTGCAGCCTTTTGTAACTACAATTTTTGTAATGAAAAACTATGATGGATATTTGTTTTCCAGTTTTGTTTTTGCGCGAATAAAGAGCGATCTGCATGACCAAGCGTCGTCTGATCAACTGATCTGTTGAACATTAATAAGCAGTGCTAATCTACTCACTACAACATGGGTAACAACATTGGAATGCTGTTGTTAATATTGTTGACGATTTAAACTTCCAAACACAATATCGACACTATATTGTTGAATGCTGACAAATCGTGCTAATTAATAGTTAACTGTTATTCGCTTTCTCGCCGTACTGCTGGTGTGGCCTGGCCTTTGTCTCTTTGAGACACAATAATTGCAATATGGTTTTGTGCATTTGTTTCTGATTTTAGATATTTTCTTATTTCATTTTAAAGCCGATACATATATACAGATATTTTTATACATCATAGAAGTTTTCAGATTTATAAAGACTTATGAGCCTTTTTTATGTAACAACAATCGTTTATTCGATTTAAAAATAATTCACTACGTGCTCCCGTAGCCCATAATTATTTGAGACAAGATTCTGCCGGCGGCTGTGGAAGCTTTGATGAATAAATGCTTAGTCAGTAATTTGCTGTTTTTGTTTTATGCCCGCTAAATGAATTTTTATTAATAGGGTTATTGATCCCTTGACGCCCCAAGCGACCATACTTTTGGCAAATCAAAGTACCCGTTTGCTTAAAATAATCACACATTAAAAGAAATCGCTCTACTAACATTAGTTTTTACAAATTTATTGTGTACATGTTACTTTGAATAATGTTAAATAATTTTCCATACAAAAACTCAGCCGCCTTATTCTTTTTTTGCTCATCATTTTCTTGTTTCAGTTTTGTTTTCTTATTAATTCTGGTTTGAAAATATTTATCAAAACAAAAATAAAACCCTAAGAGATAAAACATTAAGTTTCGATTTGTCTCAATAATTATTTTTGTAATTTTTAACGTGAAAGTTAATAGTTCGACTTCACGTTCGTCTTCTATGGGTCTGTGGTACTTCACTGGACGAGCCAATCGATTCGTGCATCAGGTGGAAGCTGCAAGCGCCGCACTACCACAGTGACCACAATAATTTCTATTTAAATGAATTTGATCTGATGTAAGTGAACAGATTTACACATTTTAGCACTTCTTATTTGCGATGACAAATTGAATCTTTCTGGCCCCGAAGTTAAAACTTAATTTGTGGCGTCCATTAAATCCTGTTGCAGACTGCTGAAAGGATAGGCACGATAGGACACCAGATGAGCCATGGACTGCACTGCACCACACATTTTTTTTATGTGAGAAAGTGGCAAACGATCTGGCGGTTCACCAGATGTCAAGTGATAACCGCCGCCCACGGACATTTGCAACACCCGTACGGTTGCAAATGCGTTGCCACCTTTAAATAAAGTGGGCCCCGGCTACCTCACTCACTAGACGAAACGCAGAAGTGTAACGCTTTTACTTTACACCGGTCTTCTGCGAGGTCGTGGTACTTACCCCGCACGGACCTGCCCATTCGTGCAACAGTGTTGCGTGGTCGTACCGTAAAAGACACATACAATCACTTGGCATATTGGCACTTTGTTTTATTTATATATACATTACATTCCCCTATTACTTTTTTGTTACTAGCGGCCGATAATCTCCTTGGAAATATTAATCCCCGTTATGCGTGTATTTCTGTATGGTTAAGTTTATGCTGTATTAATATTTGAACAAAATAATAAACATTTAAATATATTTAGTTTGAACACGTAATCTACACAATGTTATGTATTTACTCAACGTGCAAACGTAAAATTCGACGTGTTTACGTTAGGGCGGCGAGAAAACGT